TCTATCTGGGAGTTCAATGGTCAACATATTTTGAGTCAATTTCTATTGGTTCCTGCTGCTAATCTCTTTATTGTAACCAATCCTATGATTGCAATGGATCTTTGTGTATGGGATCCTTGAATATGTTTTGAGTTCATGGCTCTAACTGATTTTACAGACAACAAAAATGAAGTATTATTGTTGGGCTGTACTGGCAAACTTTTCTTAAATGCAGATTCACACTCAATGAGTATGTGGGATCCCGGACAACCATGGTGTGTGCATTGCTACTTGTCTAATGGTTCATGTGTTATCTATAACTACATTGCAATCCCCTGTCCATCAATCACATATAAAGTAATCATCGATACATATTATGTTGTAAACCTTGGTGTTGTGGTGGCTAACTTCGAGCGAACATTAGTTTGGCGGCACGATGCCAGCATTAATCTTGACTACAAAATTGAGGTTTGCTACATGGTGCTTGTTCAAAAAAATCTTCTTGCACTTCTTAGTTCTACTATAGGGCTTCAGAACTATGCTGCTCGTTTTTATGTGCTCCAAATTGACATTATTGGCCCTATGAAAATATCGGGAAGAAATAGTCTTGAGCAGTTAGTGATATTTGTGTCTGTCCGTAACTGGTCCTTCAAGATTTGTTTACATAGACTTATCCATAGTTTGTTTATTGGAAGACATCTTGGGTTTATTTCTGTTGTTATTAATGATGATGATGCGGTATTACATGATTTTGATTATGTTGAGGTGGACAGTATTGGGGCATTGATTTCTCCATTGGATAACTGGGAGCTTCATCACTATATTTCTTTTTGCTCATTGGTTTACTTCGTGGGAAAATCAACTAGAATTGTCCATTTAGAGAAATGGTTTCTGGGCAAATGCTTAAGGATAATTTGCAAATGCCTAGGCATAGCAATATGACATGGATAAGAAATTCTGGGCTGCAAGATGGGAAGTATATTGCTTTAACTATGCTTAAAATTTTGGCGGAGGTCTGCCACAATGTTGGAGATGGACTACACCTTAGTTTGCCTCTATCTTGTGTTCTCCCTATGTTAAGTTGGATTGTGAGTGAGTATCATGCAAATTATGAGGCTGTTGGAGAACTTAATCATGTCAATGATGGTATCATTGCAACCTTTTATTATGATTTCCGTTCCAAGGATATTGTGGCCTATGGGATATTTAGAGAAACTACAGTTTTTTCTTATCACAACCATGTCCAATGTGAAGTGAACTATGCTGCCACACTAAACAAAGCTTGTTATGAAGCTCTTGATTTTGCTCACAAGGAACTTGTTGGTGTTTGTCATCAAATGCACTTCATCTATCTTGAAGTCAATGTAACTACACCTAGATTACCAATGCTGTTGTTGGCAAGAATTCTTGACTTGAACCTTGAGGACAAGGTTCTTATTGAGGGTGGAAGTATTGTTATGAATCAGCCCTAGCCCAATAATGATACTAACAAGTATATGTCACGACCCGATTTCTCAAGTCATGATGGCACCTACTATAACCCACCAATAGGTAAGCCAACCCGGAACAACAAGTAATGGGTCTAAGGGTAGAAACTAAACAAGAGTAGGCAAATAATAATATAAACAGGCAGAAGCAAACCAAAACATATATACAAATAAAGATCCCTCCCAGAACCTGGAAGTCACTAGTACAGAGCTACTACAAAATGAGTACAAGTCTCAAAAGTGGACAACATAGATTGGACTGTCTCGGAAAGTAGAAGACAAGTCTATATATACAGATGGAGACTGAAATAGTACAAAACGTCGTGTGCTCACTCTCGTCTCCGGATCAGTCTGCTCCAAGCTCGATCAACGCTGGCTACTAGTACCCGGACCTGCATCACGAAATAGATGCAAAGCGTAGCATGAGTACCAAAACAACAGGTACCCAGTAGGCATCATAGACCGATTGAACTTGAAAAGTAAAGGCAGTATGGAAAAAAGGAATAACACAAATCGAAGTCAAGAACGAAAATCTAACTAACAATGGAATGCACACGAGTGTAGAAAGAACTAACTGAAACAATCTATAAGCTAACTACACTTAGCTGGGCCCCCATAAGCCCAGAAGGTACACTCATGCGCAAGTTAAATAAAAACCCGAATGGACCCCCATAAGCCCGACGAGTACACAGAATAACTATAACTAAAGAGAATTGCAGATGTGAACCCAAGAACAGAGAACACGAGTCAGAACCTCAACCCCAATTAGTAAAATCTGACAGTACGGAGGCTGGACCTCGAATCGGATGCTCACCAGAAGTACTCAAGTAACCAATCACAAGTATCAAGTATCTGAGGCCGGAACCCTAACTGGATGCTCTATATAAGTATCTGGGCAATAGAGGCCGAAACTTTAACCGGATGCTCTATATAAATATCTGGGCAATAGAGGCCGAAACTCTAACCAGATGCTCTATATAAGTATCTGGGCAATAGAGGCCGGAACTCTAACCGAATGCTCTATATAAGTAATTGAGCAATAGAGGCCGGAACTCTAACCGGATGCTCTATATAAGTATTTGGGCAATAGAGGCCAGAACTCTAACTGAATGCTTTATAAAGGTGCTAATGTAGTTGCTGAAAGAGTCTCAATCGATCTATTCTCATAAATGTTCGTGGATTGCCGTCCACACCTACCCAATCAATGTAAGTCCTTGGAATCGAATCGAAAATCAAATTCAAATCGCGAAGCAGAACTAGTGTCGCTGACGTAACTCATGAAGCTATAACATCGGGGAAATAAGGATAACTATCATCGGAGCAAACACATCGCCTAGCTAAGGCCCAAACTATCAGACTCAAGTCTGCTACACCAGTCTATATGGATCTAAGCCGGCCGAGCCGCGTCGGGGCAAAACTAAGGCCTAACGGATCCGAATCATGTATTTCTAAGGCAAGCCCTAGTCAAACCTAAACTAAGGCCCAAATGCTTCAACAAATAGTCATCGAGCATACAAGTACTCCACAGAGCAAAGAGGGACAATTAATAACACAAAACATGCTCACAGTTACCCGATAATTCCCGAAATAGGCCGAAAATATGATTTCTAAACACCTATGCATGATTCAATCACTACCAACCCAAATCCCAACTAATAAACATGCATTCACACTCTCAAGCTCAATCTAAGAGAGGGAAACCGTAGCCTACCTGTAGGCCGATCACACGCGCTCCAAAAATCACTTTTTCGGAGCTTTCCCTTTCCGAACGTCCTCGAAACGCTGTCCCGCTATGAAAAATAGAGTCACAACGTTATTACGGTCGTTTAGACACCAAAATCACAATAAATGGAGACGGATCAATTTCGGGGTCAAAACGGGGAAAGTGGGACCCGCGCTGGAAATTCTGGCATTAACCCCAAAAGTGGGTCCTAACCAGTTCCCCCAGCTCATGTCCCAAAATGGGACACAATTTGGGGCTCGGGAACAACACAATATCAACATGCAACCAAAACCAAATTTACACTAAAACGGAACAACAATAGCAGCAACTATTTACAAGAAAATAACAGAAACGAGGGTCCAGATGCTGAAACCAATCACACCACGACGATCCTCATTAAAAACCCCACAATCTAGGCTTTTGAATCACCAGATTTGCACCTAAAATGACCAAGAAATCACCTTCTAAAATTTCCCAAAAATTAAGCTCGAAATGAGCTAAGACAACAGCTAAAACACAACTTTTTACCTCCAAAAAAATTTAAATATGAAATCTAATCACGCCAACGCGTTCTCCTTGGAAAACCACTCAAGATAGCCCCAAGAATCACCGAAATCGGATCTAAAATGACTGAGATATCAAGTCTCAAAAATTCCCAAAATCAAGCTCACAAAAAGGGTGTGGCAGTAGGTATTTCATGAAATTTACCTCAAATGGAGACCCCAAATCAGTTTCCGAGCTCACCAACGCGTTCCTTGTGAAAAACCCCATAAGATGGACCTTCGAATCACTGAAATCGGACTTGAAATTAGAGAATTATGAAGGTTTGAAGTTGAGAAATGGGGGCTGAAATATGGCCTGCACCAGCTATATATATACTACTAGAAGGGCACGGCTCGTGCTTAGCACGGGCCCAACATAGTTGATTTGCTCTCGATAAATAATAAAGTATGCTGAAAATTATTCAGCTATATTTATTGCAAACAAACAATTTATTCAAGTTGTGTATATAAATTAGAGAAAGGGATGATCAAGTATGGAAATAAAATGTATTCATTCAAGCGTCTGCAAAATCATTGATAAGGTAGATAAAATAGAAGACATTAAATGTTGACACAACTCAAATAGCTTGCACCCAAAAAAAAGTTATCTAAGTAATTGAACATTAACCTTAGTTTAAGCAAAATTAAAAATGATGATACAGAGAAATGGAGTGCATGATCTGCCAAATCCGATTTGCCATTAGCCTTGCTCTTAATATAATGATTTGAGTTGTCTCTTTCCAGATAAAAACAATCTAGCTTTACTACTCTTGACCTGAGATTTGCAATTCAATAAATCAAAAGGCGAACAACAATTTATTTAAGTAAATGCCTATCCCATGGCCATAGTACAATCACAAAAATGTGAAAACTTCTTCATTGCATATTATGTGTCTCAAATAATTCATATATATACCTCATTAAGTGGATGAAAATGAAGAGGTGTTGCCACATGCTATGAAAAATTCCCACGTAGAGTTACTTTTTTTTTTTTGGTTGCAAACCCAACCTTTTTATTTCATAAAGAAAGATAAGAAGGGATGAGATTATTTCCCAAACCTTTTCCTAGTTACAAAAAGGATGAATATTCAGCAATATACATAATAATCCCTATTCTAGAGTTAGTGACTATAAAAAAAATCTATAGCTATGTTGGAGGACACCACCAAAAACATATTAGGGGCTGAAAAATGTATGCAAAAGGATTAGCATAACCAATACAAAAGTTAACTGCTTGACATGAGTTTTAATTCTAAAAGTCGGAACTTGGTCTGAGTCATTCTTCAGGGGAGCTTTGGCTTTGGTAGAGTCGGAGCTTGTGTGAAGAAAATCTTCTCCTTTTGATTCTCTCCAAAATTAGCCCTGAAATCTGCAAAATAGTTGGTCTTCCAATAACAATGGGCAAAACAATAATCTCTTTGTTTGTTTAGGATCATCCCCTTTATCTCAGAATTGTTTTCAATCATTATTATAAATATGATTAAATTATCTACTGCAAAAATAACAAAAGAAATCTAGGTTACTTGCAAAAGTTGAATCTAGGGGTGAAGTGTTTCCAAGTTTTATATCCCAATACTAAAACTGTAACTTTTATCCAAGAACAACTATTAATACTATATACAACACCATAATCTGTCACTAATCATTATCAGTACACCAAACAGAACACTATGTTTCTTTTTGAAGAAAAGGGGGCCAAAATTTGAAGAGCCTGAAAAAAGTATGTGAAATTGTACCTGAAGGCTTGAAATTTAAGAGAATCTGAAATTAACCCTTCCCATAGTTTAGCCTGCTTGTTGTTTTGTCTCTAGACCTTGATTGTTTTCTGCCAGCTTAGCTTAGTCGAGGTGTAATTATTAAAGCGAGCAAGGATCCAAAATTACTAATTGAAAAGTATATCAAATGTCTTTGAATTGCGAAGGAGTTAAATCCATAAGAACATGAAATAAAAGTACGTGATCTCATCTGTTGTTATGCCAGAATACTATTTTGCTTCCATCATCTAAAACAAAGAGTACATTAGTTCAAAAAGATCCACATTCTTGCTTATATGTTTTCCATACAATATTTTCATATGGCTCTATAAACTTATTTATGCAACATTCACCTTTTTTACCCCATACTTTCATATTCACCCTTTTCTAAAGTGCCTCTTCTTTCACAATATATCTCCATAACCACTTCATGAGTAAACTACCGTTTCTTACACCTATTCTATTTATTTCTAAATCTACGATTATCTTCTCCAATGTGGCAGTGTCCCACTTTCTTAGATGTATCAATTGATTTTCTTCAGCTTTTAATCCTTTTTTTCCTTCTCATTTATTCAACTTTTGTGCTACTTTTATAGTACTGAGGGAGAGTTATCACACAATATTTGTTCCAATAATGCTAGCATACAAGCAAGTCATTAGACAAAGTCGATTTATGCAACACAAAAAAACCATAACATACATGCGAAAGAATAATTAAAGAAAATCGAAGATGTGATCCGTTGAACTTCGATCTAACCAAATTTGAACATAATACTCCAAAAAAAAAAAGGAACACAAAACAAATGAAATTACTACCATCACCTGTTACTTTGCCGCTATCGCCTTCCAATGATACTCATAGATTTACCCACAAATGTTAGTGAATTGGAAAATTAAGAAGTGTGAAAGTAATTGAGCAGCAACCGAGAAAGAGGGGAAAATGAAGGAAAAAAAGGAGGTATGAGCAAGATTGATTGAAAAAACATATCTAGAGCTTGAACACACAGCAACAAAAGTGCAAACATCCTTGACATCCTTGAAACTCGAGAGCAAGAACAGTAGCAAGGAGAAATCCACTGGAAGTAAAAAGAAAGAAAGGAACCTATGAAAATCCAATTACATTCATACCTTTAGCATGTGAAAGACATAACAGCCAACGTGATGAACCACTTTCCTTGCTGCAGCAAAAGAAGGAAAAAAAATCAAGTACTCCATATAAAATGACTCAAGACAAACATCAAATATTGCGGGTCCACAATCCACTTCTAAATTTCAGTCATATTTTATAGCTTAAATTTTGCCACATGACGATGTAATAATGCACTAATTAGATAATAACAAAGACAAAATTAATGAAAGAGATATAACGCATATGTAGATCAAGTAAAATAACTAAAACATGTACTTGAAATTCTAGCCAGAAATTATATTCAAAAACAATAAGTAAGTAAAAAATAAACAAAATATACCAAATTAGTAGCGATAATAATAAAGTAACATCAGAAAAAATCCGTCCAATTCTTACCAAACAATAGCCTGAATCTTGGAGGTTTGTAGAGAGGATTAGTAAACAGTGAAGAAAAAAGATGTTAAGGCATAGACCAGAGTCATTCTTGATATCTAAGATTTTTGTGAGACAGTGTAACTTCTGCACTGATTAATTGTCTATATAGAGATTAAATTCACCAAATAAATACAATACATGTCCAAATCAAGCAGTTAGTAACATACATGTAGAAATCTTTAGCTAGAAACTATATTCAAAAGAGTAGAAAACTAAGGTCCACATACCAAATTGTGATTACTTTTAATTACTGAATCTCAAAGAACAGAAGAGACCATCAAGCATGACTTCGTAAGAACTAATAAGAGCAAACAAAAATGAGACTTAAACAAAAAGGTAGACACGTGTCCAAGAAGAAACAAATCATGGGACTGCAATTAAACTGCAATACACGTGTCTACTTGAGAAGCTAAGAAAAATTAAATCGTTCATAATACAACTGACGTAACTTTGTGTACAATTATGTGATACAGAGTTCGTCCCACGCTTGTTTCATGACATCGAGCTTGTCCCAATTTGTAGATGTAGATGAAGTTAAGCCCATGAGTCATCCGTCTTCTCTCCCTTGATATGTAGTTTTCCTTTTTTAGAAGAAAATCAATGGGAGCAAAACTCAACACATGTAACTATTTCACATTTGAATAAGCTATAGAGAGTAAATGTTGAATCTCTGACATTCTAATACTTCTAAAGTACAAAACCAGCACAATGCAACAACCAAAAGGATTTCATTCATCTGATGAGTGATGGCAAAATATAGAAATGCTTGCCGGAAGAAAAAGAATAACAAATCCCAACTTATCATTATCATACAACATCAGCAAAGCGGGCATTTTAACTCTGATATTACCAAAAATCAAAATAAAAGGTATTTGCTGGAAGGAAAAAATAACAACATTCAACCTATCAGTATTACATAGCACCTACAAGGCAAATATTTAAACTATGATATTTCAAAACAACAGAATGAATGGAAATATAGAATTGGTAGACGATGGAATGACAAACATGAAGGAGTAAGGATACGCAACATTTAGAAATAATCAAACTTCCTACCTCTTTAGTGTTCCATAATCATCCATATTTCTGTTTTGCTCCTGATTTAGAAAGTACCCTGTTTTAAGTTTCAAAGATAATGCGGAATCACTGTCAAAGGGTCAAGGGTAAGTATATTTGTCGATTTTGTGCCGCACATGTTATATGTAGCCACATGTATAGTATTTTTATTGGACCCATGTAGTAGCCACATGTATAGTTTTACAAAGATGATGCAGAAGATTAATGTACATAACAATTATACCTAAGCTATGAAATTCACAACAAAATTGGATGTGAAGGGCTGTCAATATGAAGTCTAAACTACATACACAAAATTGGATGTGAAGGAATGTTAATATGAAGTCTAAACTACATACTACAAGGGCCCTTAGATATCATGAATACTTTTGGATGTATTCAAGAGAACACCAACATGGTGGTGGTCATATGAGATTAAACTGTTTTTGCATATTATGCTAATTCTCCATTATAATGCTTAATTAGTTAGTAAAGCTAAAACTTTTCTGATCACGGGAACCTGGCACATTGACATTCCTTAAGATATTGCTTTTTCTGACAGATGGAGAAATAATTTTCGATTAATCCAAATAATTATTTGTTTTCCATAGTGGAGATTAATACCCCAAGAATTAGATTTAGAATGTATACTATAGAGAATTTACCTGAAATAGTCGTACACAGAATACATAAAAGTTTAGATTGAAAGTAGGATTGATAATTTTTGTATGTGTGACCCATTTGTCTTTTTCATTGGTTGTCAGTCCTTGCACCAATAATGTTAGGAATGGATCTCTTCAATTTTTTTTGAAGATTCAGATACAACTCTTGTTACTTTCTTCTCTTCGTCTTTCAAAATCAGATTTTGAAATTTGATGTTCTTCTCCAAACTTTCTCGCTCTCGAGTCATGTCCACAATTTGGACTTTGCAAGTCCAATCAAGAGTATCAGTTGTTATTCAATCAATATTGAATCTTAGTACCATATGTCCACCCAAGATATCTTAACAAAAATATGGGTGGGAAGAGTTAGAGAGCAACACCAATTAGAGTTCTCTTCAATTTGTGATATATTAAACTAAGACACACATTCTTTTGTTGATGTCGAAGCTCTTACACATTGACAATAAAAAACAAAGTGTTATATACATATTCTAAACATGCATAAAATTCTTTTGTCAACGTCTAAGGTCTTACACATTGACAATCAAAAACAAAGTGTTGTATACATATTCTAAACATGCATAAAATACTTTTGTCAAAGACTAAGGTCTCGATAATGACAATGTATACATACAACAAAAATATATTTGGATAGTTGCTGCAAGAAGAGAAAGAGGCATATGTTCATAGACATAATAGGAGGAGAAGGAGAGCACAACAAACACAACAGACCAACAGTGAAGAGAACTTATTAATTAATGCATGCAACAAAATTATAACCCACATACCCATACGGAGCAGGAAGAATTGCAAAAAAGTATACCCACAAAAAGGTGATTACCAACAAATGAGTGACACTAAGTTGAGAAAGATTTCACCAACAAACAGGAAAAAAGAAAGGACAAACATTTAAACAGAGAAGATAAGAATTTCCTAGACCAGCAATGAAGTGCAATAAGCAGGAAATTTGAGTAGAAATTTCTATAAATGTACTGTTATAGAAGGGGAAAAGTTCATTTAGGCATACTATGAAACACTTTTGGTACAATGGAGAGCAAAGGTAAGTGGAGAGCGAAGGTAAGTACTGACATGCAACTCAAGCTGAGAAACCAAGAAGGAGAAAAAAAATCAATTTAAGCAATGATGAAAGCTACAAAATCAAAACACACAATGAACTTTGAACACACGATTGAATGAAAAATCATAGAACTTTGTTTAAAATCCCAAAGATACACATGCAAAGATTATACATTCAAATCAAAAATTTATTGCATCTATATTTGTCAGATTCAAAATCCGTCCTTTATATTTGCTAATAAAGAACCAATTTATTGCATTTATTTATTTATTTATTATTCCTATATTTCTCAAAGGGTGATAGAACTCACCAAAAATAAGAAAATCTAATCACGATAAGAGATTGAGATACAAAATTTTGAGAATTGCGAGAAGAGCTTTTGATGAAGTCTATATCTTCATAACTTTAAAGCATGTGTTTGCCTCATTATCACATCAAAAAATGTATGCAATTTGTTCTGCAAATGCAAATTAAATCTAGAGATAAAAATTAGAAGGAAACCCCCATAAATTTATAATTAGAATGAAAAATTACCTCCAATTTTGGTAGTCAAATAAGAAATTTCATCACCAAATTGATGCATCAATTCGGAATCAAATCACTCTTCTCTAATTTTCCATCAATTGCTCTTCCTCTATCTCTAAGTTCTTCTTCTCCTTCTCCGGCAAGTGTGTGAATGAGGAGAATAAAACATAGAAAAATTTGAACAAAGAAAGAACCAAAGCAAGATAATTGAAAACTGGAAAAAGGTAGAAGGACAGGTGTAGTACAGGTGTTTATTTTCTAGTGAATTAGACTCAAATGGTGTAGTACAATTTCAATGCAATTGACAGAACTTTCTAAAGCTGTGTTGGTACTCTATCTTGTTGGCTTATAATATCTGGCTGGCTAAGTATAAAAAGACAAGACACATGTCACCAAATAGAGTACAGATGTCTCTATTACAATGAATTCACCAAAAGTAATCTTCACAATACCAAAAATGTCCTTATTTGTCTCATCACATTTTTAGCACAAGGTACAATTATTTTAAGCTATGTTAGTCCTTTAGAAGTGACACTTCTAAATAAGCACAAGGTACAATTATTTTAAGCTATGTTAGTCCTTTAGAAGTGTCACTTCTAAATAAGGGTAATATATATATTAGCTGAAAAGCTGATTTTTGCCAACTTTAAAATCTCCGACGGGGTGTTTGGGATTCGTTCGGAACCCGATAAAAATAAAACAGATATGCTACCCTACTAAATTTGATATTCTGGACTCAACGGCGCAGTCGAAATTCCCATCATAGGTCATCTCGATAAAAAGTGGGTCCCACTTCCAAATGCCATTTTAACCAAAATCCACTAAGGGGCTCAAAATGAGTCCGGAGGCCTCAGGAGTCGAACGAAAGGTCGTTCTAGACCAAACTCAACATTTCGGAGCTAACCGCGCTGACAAAATTTTCATCTAAGCACGTTTTTCAAGAATGTTGACCAAAGTCAACCATAGGCCACATTTCAAAGGCTAAAACGCTTAATGGTCCAAACTCGCATCGAAGGTCTCGATACTCGTTCCAACTATGCTACTAGCCTAATTTGGCCACTCCGGAGCTGATGGAGCAGTCATAATTCTCTTTTGAAGTCGTCTTCTTGAACTTTTGATCGAAAATGATCGTTCAAGGTTCATAAGCTCCAAAACACAAAAACTCGCACCAAGACCAAACGAACGACCAGGTGACCGAACTATCAGTCCCATCAAATCATAAATGACTTGGGGTCGCTACAGGAACGCTCTAAACGACACATAGAATGCAAGACACAGAAATGACCAGGAGGGTCATTACAATATATCACACGGATAGGTATTGGGACAAGTTGGTCCAATACAAGCAACAAGGCCAGGCCTTCACATAGGATAATTTGGGATCCACACTGAGGGTATTGTTAAATAGAACATGGCATCACTATGAGAGGGCATCACATGAATTATGTGCAAAGGCAGTTCTGTGTTTCTCATCCCCAGTTCTAGAGTCTAAGTTTCTCATCTCCATTCTTATCTCTATCCTTAGTTACTTGTTATTTCAATATTTTCATTGTAATTCGGTAGTTTGATTATTGCAATTAGAATCTTAAAGTTGTAATAGTGTTCCAGTGCTTTTATTAATATAGTGAGGATTTCGGTTTGTTACACTCTCTGTCTTGCATTGCCCTTGCTTTTGGTAGGGGCTAAACATTCGAGCCTCCATGGCTTTCCACTAATTTGTCAGCTGAGCTTTTGACTTCTCTTTGAGCTTCATTTTATGAGTTTTATCCATTTTTTGTTTCATACTTGGTCAATATTGTCAAGGTCTTTTTACCTACATATATAGCACAAAACACCTTTCATAAGCTTAAAATTATGTAATCGAGTTAAAATAAAGAGTATCAAGCTAGATATCAAACAATGCTCAAATGTGGGTGAAACATATATAGCTAAAAATTGTGTAAATTCATCCAATATCACCACCCCACACTTAAATCTTCATTCGTTCCAGAACAACTAACAAGACACTCACACACCTTACCCAAATACAATGCACCCTTCAAACAAGTATACTCCTCCTATCTGAATAGCATAAGACATTTTAAGCATAAAGGCTACTCGATCTAATACAAAGTGCGTATGTCAATTCAAAACAAGATAGCTCTATCAAAAAATGACTTAGCCTTAAGACTGACTCAAGAACATAATATATAGGGCAATTACAATTATATTAGGGCAATTACAATTATATTGTCAGGCAAAGAAGTTGAATGGGTTACCAAGTTCAAACAATCAAATCACAATTTAAAAAAAATAATGAAGGTTGGGTTTAAGACTTATTTTGAATCTTAAATTACTTTTTCCTTTTCGTTTTTTGTCAAATATTGAATTAGTAAGGAATTGACTTATCTATTGATGGAATTGAAACATATCACCAGAACTCTTGAATTTTGGATCGTCACAATTATATAATATAGGTAATTCTCGCTATATAATAAAATTTACATAATAGACCAAGAGTGTAGCTTAATGGAGTAGTAGATGAATCCAAAAAATCACTATGTGATTTATTTTTATCTGCCTAAGTTTTGGCAGATAAAGTTATCTGTAGGTGGAATAACTTAATTATATCGAATAGCACACAAATTGGCCTTGCATAACTGTTTCTATTTAAAAAATTGAACATAAATAACAATATGGAGGAGACCATAGGAAACCAAAAATGAAAAAAAAAATGGCGGGATGGAGAAGGCGTTAGAACCGGTGTGGTGTTTTCTTCAAAATTAATTTATTTTAGTGTATGTATATATATTATAAACGTCGCCTTCAACCACATCACCTTCCTATACTCCTCAATTTTTGCTCCAACGCCCCTTCAAAGTCTTCTTCCCCTCAACCAATTTTCTACGTTTACTTTTTTTCATTTTCGTATAAAATAAAATAAAAAATAGGTTCTCACAAGCATGAATCCAGAACAGAAGGAACCGAATTAGATTGAAAAGGAAGAATTTGAATCATTAAAAATGGGTAGTTACAATTATTACAAAGTGTTGGGGTGTTTTAATCGCAAGTTTAAGATCAGCGAGACGGGTCCACCGCCGGACGTTAGCAATGCATTTTCGTTGTATACCGAAAAAGGAATCCATATGACAGGGGATCAATTGGGACGGTTTATGGTTGAGTATCAAGGTGAGAAAGAGTGCACCATTAATGATGCTGAACAAATTATACAGGAAGTTGTTAATCGGCGGCATCATCTCACCAAGTACACTAAAAATGCACATTCTTTTGAACTCGAAGATTTCTTCTATTATCTATTTCAGGATGATCTCAATGCCCCTATCAAATCTCAGGTTTCTTCCCTCTCCATTTTTGAAAGATGCTTTGATTGGGTTATGTTGTACTATTAATTCGACTGATGTGTGTTAATTTAATGAAAAATGTGCCTTTCTTCGAGAAAATGGGACACTTAGGGATTGTCACCAGGGGCAGAGTCTCCTCACAAGGGGTAATGATTGAAGTTTTTTTTTTTTATGTATATATAGTAGATGGTGAACCCTCCTGGACTTGTTAGTATATTTATTTCTTCGTATTTTGAACCCTAAGTGAAAATTGTGGCTTTGGCAATGGACATCACTAAGTAATGCCATGAAAGTTGAAGTGCAATGCCATTTGTTGACAAATGGATTTCCTAATGGAAGAAATGCTGGTGTTTTCTTAGCTTGATTGTATCAAGTGGTCGAAGTAACTATCCTAGGGGTTGCTATAAGGTGAAGATTTGTGCACGGGTGGTCCGATACTTAAGAAATACTCGCTACATTATCCCCAAGTAAAAATAGAATAAGAAAATGTAACTTGAAAGCTTTACAAAATAGCTCTCTAAAATCCCACCCTAGCCACTCTCCTCTCTGCTCTATGGTGCTTATTGTCCCTACTTGCCCCAAGCAACATGGTTGTCCTAGGTTACGTGTGGATGATGGTCTGAATAGAAACTAATGGAAATACTTTTCTTTCTTTTGTGTTTGTCCACTTGATCACTAAGGGATGGATGTGTGCATTCAATGACTTCCTTGGCCGTTCCTTCTTTTACTTCTTCTTGTGGCTTGAGAGTCAACCGCATGAGAGAGTAAAGTAAAAGAAAAATAAGAGAATTGGACTTTGATCTTGGGCACACTTCCTCTTTCAAGGGGACAAGAGCGAGTATGACTATTGAAACAATAGAAACTATATCTTGAGAAAAACAAGTTACTGAGGTACAGTTTATAGATGGTATTGCAAAAGGGAAAGGACGAGCATTTCTATGTATTTTTGGTGAAATATGCCAGAACACCTTAGAAACTGAATTTTTGTTAGGATTCTTTGGAAACCCAACCCTGCATAGATCTATTAGCGTAAGTTTCTTTCTCTACATGGATCATGTTTTTAATTCGACGGGGAGGAATTTGTCTGTCTTGAGGCTTGTGCCTTTTTTATAGGTTTAGATGTGAAAAGGTTGAAAATAAAGGTGTACAAATTTTGCAGTATTGCACATGAACTTTATTAACACCCTTCCTTTTAACTTTTAAATCATTGGGGTTAGTGATTTCAAGTTTTGAATTCCCTGTGCCATGTATATTTGTTGTTTATGCAGAATGACTAGAAATTACATGTAGCGACATGTAGATTTACTTTGACAACTTATGTCATTCCAGGTACATCATGATATGAATGCTCCATTGCAACATTATTTCATTTATACAGGTCACAATTCCTACCTTACTGGAAATCAACTGAGCAGCGATTGTAGTGAAATTCCAATCATTAGAGCTCTGGAAAGAGGTGTGCGGGGAATAGAGCTGGATTTATGGCCAAATTCAGCAAAAGATAATGTGCATGTTGTTCATGGAAGGTAGGATATGCTCCTTCAGTAACTTTTAAAGTACTACTGGAGAGATCTCGACTTTATAGAAGCAAAAAGTGCGGTAAAACCTCTGGAGATCTTCAAACTCATCCAACAACCCTCTAAGTGTTGATATTAGTGTGATCCATTTGCCTCAACTTAATTGTAACCAAAAAAAGATTGAAGATGACAGGAAGTTAATTATCAATCAAATGAATGTGGATTGAACAGTTAATCTTTTTAGATAATTGTGTTAGAATAGATTCCTTCTATTGATTATTAAGCTCTTCAAAGTCATCTTACCAGAGATGAAAAGCATATATATGGATTTATTAAATATCAAATCCTTTGGAGTACCTCTTAATTTTAAGAGTCACTTATCCATTATCACTTATTGTTATTAAAGTATTCAACTAGGATACAATATCTGAATAACACTTGAAACTTTATGAGATCTTAATGAGTTTGTGCTGAGGATTCCAATTATGATCATTTCCAGGACCCTGACAACGCCCGTGCCACTCCTTACATGCTTAAGATCCATTAGAGACCATGCATTTATTAAATCTCCTTATCCTGTCATAATTACGTTAGAAGACCACTTGACGCCAGACCTTCAAGCAAAAGTTGCAGAGGTTAGAGTTGGTTGCCCTTTTTGTCAACATTTTTGAGATTATATATAATGTTTACTCTACTATTAACTCCTTTCCTCTCATGCACCCCATTTTCTTCCTCTAGGCGGTTATCCAAGTCTTTGGGGAGATGCTGTATTATCCTCGGTCAGAATGCTTAGAGGAATTTCCTTCACCTGAAGAGCTTAAGCATCGGATTATACTTTCTACCAAACCACCCAAAGAGTATCTTGAGTCGAAGCATCACCGAGACATAGAAAGTGCATCTCCTGTGAAGAAAGATTCAGTTGAAGGGGACATTTTGGTCAAGGAGCCTTCAGAAGTTAAAACAGAAGGACATGAAGCTAATTATAAGGTAAAACAATGTTAAAACAGTTTTTCATTCTCTCTTTCTTTCAGCAAGATAATCTCTTATTCTTCACTGGCATATTTTCAGAACGATACTGATCAAGATGATAAAGATGGTGATACCTCCAACTACCAAGCATCTGAGCAAGGAGCACCTCATTACAAACGTCTGACAGCAATTAATGCTGGGAAGGCCAATAGTGAATTGAAGCATGAACTAATACCAGAAGAGTTTAAACATCAAACAGTTCATGCTACCAAATCACCCAGAGAAGATCCTGACCTGAAGCATGCCAGAGACAAAGAAAATGCAACTATGGCGAGGAAAGATTCAGTTGAAAGGGACGTTTTGGTCAAGGATACGCCAGAAATTATAGTCAAAGAACGTGAAGCTGATGAGAGGGTAAAAGTCATAAAACAATGTTAAAACTATATGTTTCTTTTTGAATGCTAATCTACTTTTTCCTTGCATTTCCAGAAAGTTATGGATCATGATGACAAAGATAGTGATCCCTCAAACCATCGATCATCCCAGCTAGGAGGACCTCAGTACAAGCGCATGGTAGCAATGCATGCTGGAAAGGCAAATTATGACTTGAATAATGCACAAATACCTGAAGAGCTTAAGAATGGAACTCCTCTGTCTCCCAAGCCGCCCAAAGAATATGTTGAGTCAAAGCATCAGAAAGTCAGAGAAAGTGCATCTCCAGTCAGAAAAGATTCTGTTGGAAATGACCTATTGGTCAAGGAGACTTCAGAAATTAAAGCAAAACATGAAGTTCATGAGGGGGTAAATTAAACAACTTGAAACTCTCTCTGATATCTTTTTTTGGCAATCTGATCTTCTTATCTCTGGTACTTTCAGAGTGATATAGATCAAGATGACCTAGGAAGTGATCACTTTGACTGTCGGTCATCGCAGCAAGGAGCACCTCAGTACAAGCGCCTGGTAGCAATTAATGCTGGGAAGGCAGAATGTGGCACGAGGAATTCATCAACACCTCAAGAGCTTAAGCATCACAGAAGTAGAGAAAGGAATTCACTTCAAGACTTACTGGTCAAGGATACTTCAAAAATCTTAGACGAAGGACATGAAACTGATGAGAGGGTAAAGCAGCATTGGAACAGTCTCTTCAATATCTTTCTTTTGGCATGCTAATCCTTTTTTCTGGAATTTCTCAGAGTGATACTGATCAAGACGATGAAGATAATGATACCTCCAACAACCAATCATCCCAGAAAGGAGCACCCCAGTACAAGCGTTTGATAGCAATTCGTGCTGGGAAGGCAAAACATGGGGTGAAGCGTGCACTAACAGATGAGGTTATTAAATTCAATCGTCTAAGTTTGGATGAACATGCACTTGAAAAAGCTGCAACAAATCATGGAAAGGATTTAGTCAGGTATTTAGTTCTTAACCAAATAATATGCAACCATTGACAAGACTACTCTATCGTCTACCCTATTCACCATTTGAGTTTTCCTCTGCTTCTTCTATTTGCTAGGTTCACTCAAAGGAATATTCTGAGGGTGTTTCCCAAGGGAACACGAGTTACCTCCTCAAATTTTAAACCTATGATTGGCTGGATGCATGGAGCTCAGATGGTTGCATTTAACATGCAGGTAACTGGTGCATCCATGTTCTTCTCCCCAAGTTTATTTCTGCCTTGTGTGTGGTATTATTTTTTAATTTCACAATCTCTCTTGCTCCTTGTGCTACAATACTCAGAACTACCCGTTATATCATTTCAATCTACCCTGTACCACAATGTTTAAATTTCCCCGTTATCATTTCCTTCTGTTCTGCAACTTTTTGGATTTTGTAACTTTTCTTTCTTTAATCTCTCCCTTGGAGGATTGTTTCTGATTAATTTATGAAAAAATTTATTAAAAAATTATAAGGTGATGAATAGAATACATAGGATTAAATTAGGATCTCTTCATACAGACAAGGTTTATATGGATACATTTTCATATGCACTAATATCAGGTATCAGTATGTGCTCTGTTGGTAGTTCTTGGGCAGGCTGGTCTATCATGTATCATCACAAAATTGACATCAAATTGAGCAAATACATTTTGAGCTGACCAATGGATACTATTTACCTTTCTGAGTATTCTTCATTTCTCTGCAGACCATTGATCAAACTTTTTTGAAAAAATAGAAAACAAATGAATTTGAATATGATGTAACAGATAATTCTGCCTGTTTTGATTGCTGTTAGCAACTTTTTTTTATCAATTTGATTCCTTGTATTCTGTCTAATTGCTATTTTAATTGCATATGATAGGGATATGGGAAAGCACTCTGGATTATGCATGGGATGTTTAGGTCTAACGGGGGCTGTGGCTATGTACGAAAGCCTAGTTTTCTCATGGAAAGAGGACCATATAATGAATTATTTGATCCCAAAGTGACATTGCCGGTGAAGAAAACTTTAAGGGTAAATGAAATGTGTGATGTGGAAACATAACAAACTTCAAGCTTATGTGATGATAATTCCAAGAAGTATGATCTTCTTTTGCAGGTCAGAGTATACTTGGGAGATGGATGGCGCATGGATTTCAGCCACACGCACTTTGATGCCTTTTCTCCCCCAGACTTCTACACAAAGGTTAGTTGGGCTATGTTGATGGCGCCATTTGGTGCGACTCATTTTATTGCATAATTAAGTACACATCATGGCTAACAATGTTTTGGATGGCCAGGTGTTGATTAGATCTTATCAGATTTTTCCTTGTTTATTGAAACCAGATTTTTCCTTGAGTGTCTAGAGTGATACATTCAAACCAGTTTTTCTTCCCTTGAGTGTCTCAAAGTGATATATTGGTAAAAATCAAGTAGCTCGTGCAATGTGGGAGTTGTGGCCTTAATCAATAGTTCATTGAATTTGATGGTTTCTACATTACTTACTACCAACTTATCAATATCTAACACCTGATTTTTAAATGACATATTACTACGTTACTTTAAAAGGAAAAAACAAGTGTGCATATCATTCAAGTAGCAAAATCAACTATCAACTTAAAGTTTGGAAGCCAAAGCATGATTTAATGGAACTTAAACAAGTGGCAGGCCATTGGATTAGTTGTTGGCTTGAAGCCAACATAATTGTCATGACACAAGTGAGCTAGGAATAATTGCTGTAGTTAACAAAACGTACACTACGCATTCATACTCAAAAGATGACCTGAAGAGAAATTCGTTGATCAGCCAGATCTCATGACATGTCATGTCATCCTTTTTCTCTTTATGTATAATAAAAAAAATATATAATAATTTATAGCCTGCTTGTATTCTTTCTCTGGTCGCCTTTGCACTATACAGAATAATGTTTCGCCTTTCTGCTTTATATTCAATGAAGTTTCAGGAAATTTTTGAATGCTGTATTGACCTTCAATGAATATGAATGGCAGCTATATATAATTGGAGTTCCAGCAGATGCTGCAAAGAGTAAGACCAGGATAATAGAGGATGATTGGGGTCCTATATGGGGAGAAGAGTTTAAATTCCCCTTGACAGTGCCAGAGCTGGCTTTGCTTCGGATTGAAGTACGAGAATATGATATGTCAGATAAGGATGATTTTGGAGGCCAGACATGTTTGCCTGTTTCCGAGTTGAGACCTGGAATCCGAGCAGTCCCTCTCTATGACAAGAAGGGTGAAAAACTTAAATCTGTTAGGCTGCTTATGCAATTTCGATTCATCTGAGGTGCAATTTCGTTCTTTTTCTTGGTAGGATTTTGTCCAAAATGACAAAAGCTCAATTCTATTTTGTTATTGTATATCCTTGGCGGGATTCTCGTACATCCAGTTCTTTTTGTACAATGGATGTGAAGTTACTGTATTAGAAAGAGAAAGAAAAACTTAAAGGATGAAGTTGTTGATTGAGTCTGTGACATTGTTTTTCAACTCTTTTGACATCAACTATTTCCCAGTCAGTCAGAAAAATTTGTATGGATGTGAAGTTACTGTATTAGAAAGAGAAAGAAAAACTTAAAGGATGAAGTTGTTGATTGAGTCTGTGACATTGTTTTTCAACTCTTTTGACATCAACTATTTCCCAGTCAGTCAGAAAAATTTGTATGGATTATGTTCAATTGACAGCATTTCACCAAGGATTTAGCACTAAAGTAGAATGAGCTAACCAACAAGGTGAAAACTTAGAAATGTAGTTTTGCTAGAGAGAGATTCAGGTTAATTATTTCAATTTTCAAGACATTTCTCATTATTTATTTAGAACTTGTTCCTCCTAAGATACTAAGTTCAATTTGCAGCATAGAGTTCTTCATTGCAAATTTAAGCAATTACGTACTGCATGACAATTCCTGTAATATTATTCATTACTATTAAATAGTCATATGTTATTATTCATCACATAACAATCACAATATTATAATCTCGCACAACGAAGATTAATCAAAATATCAAATGATTTGTTAGAAAATATAAATATATTAAAATAAAATCAATCATCCAGGACAGTTGGTTTGAGGGATAAAGAAATAAATTTTGCTATACAACTCTGCATTTCTTATTTAATATTTGATTTTCATTGCAAATTTAAGCAATTACGTACTGCATGACAATTCCTGTAATATTATTCATTACTATTAAATAGTCATATGTTGTTATTCATCACATAACAATCACAATATTATAATCTCGCACAACTAAGATTAATCAAAATATCAAATGATTTGTTAGACAATATAAATATATTAAAATAAAATCAATCATCCAGGACAGTTGGTTTGAGGGATAAAGAAATAAATTCTGCTATACAACTCTGCATTTCTTATTTAATATTTGATTTTCAGCAATAAAACTATGTTCCGTATTATTATAATAGGAACTTTCGCATATAGCCACTCAAAAATAGCCTAATTACGCTTCATATCTTTAGTTTGCTAATTACGATTCGTAGCTACATGTTATAGGGAGGAGAGTGGCAAGCGAGATTGGGAGAGAGAGGCGAGAGTTGGCAAAGAGTGGGAGAGAGGTGAATTATATATGTATATCGGTTAGATAATTGTATATTATACATATGTATTTGTAAATATGGAGAGCGAGATTGGGAGAGGGAGGAGAGAGGCGAGCGAGATTGGGAGAGGGAGGAGAGAGGCGAGCGAGATTGGGAGAGGGAGGAGCGAGGTGAGCGAGAGGGCAATAATTTGTATAATTCACAGGTACGTTTGTATAATTCACATGTTTTTGTATAATTGAGTAATATAAAGTCTGAAATTATTCAAATATGATAAAACTCGAAATAACGAATTGATACAAACATAAACATATGAACTTTAAACAATTATACAAAATATATTATACAAATTACATTATATAAATTATATTATACAAAAGCTGAAAACTACACATTTATACAAACTTTAAAAAGTTATACACAAAAAGATTGAATGTATATGGTGACAAAACTGAAAAACTAAAGGAAATCATCGACATATACAAATACAAACCATCGTATACAAATACAAATCAAACGAAGAATTGTTAGTTGCGAATTATACAAATGTGGCAAATTATACAAACATGGCTAATTATACAACTCGAAGTCAGCCCACGTAATTAATGTATAATGTTAGTCGCAAATGGTAATTATAGCAAACTATAGCTATAATGAGTAATTAAGTAGTATAAGTTTGCTTAACCGCGTAATTTTTCCTTATTATATAATGTGTCACTTCGTAATTAACGCGGTGTTTTATTTCTTGTATTAAATTCTACATATCTTACTGCACTTGAAAATATATTTCCTCTATCCTTTTTTACTTGTCAAATTTTGACTTAACACACTTATTAAAAAATAAAAAAGGATTAAAATTTCCCCTGAACTATGCAAAATAGATCATTTATTCCCTCAGTTATATTTTTGAATAAAAATGCCCTCATCTTTATCCCAACACTCAAAGACTATAATTACCCTCAACAGTTAAGACCAGTTAAACACAAGCCACATGACACTAATTTCTCTATCTAAGCTTGGCAACTAGGATATCTACTCATTAATTTTGACCCAATTTATAACGTGAATCCTAACTTCGTTCTTGCTAAACCCGATTCACTAAAATTAAGAGGCAAACATTGTCTTTTCACCCCAACTTTGTTGAGCTTGAGGCGTCCTATCTCAGATTTGTCGCCGAAGCCCTCAATTAGTTTTTATTGTGAATAGATTTTTTTGATAATTTTGAAGGTGATTATTGTATTGGCAAATGGCAATGGGTGCAATAGGGTCATCAGCAGCTATAGCGTACTTGGCTCAGAATGGAAACCAAGATGCAAATTGACAGCAATTTGTTGATTTATGTGAAAGGACCTGTGGAGCCGTGGTAACCGACTGTATTGCATGGTATTTGAGCTTAGCTTCTCTATTCTGGTTGCTTGGAAGGATTTAACACATGAAAAGTTGTGCTTGAGGGCCTCTAATCTCTATGACAAAGTTGAGGTGAAAAGATAGATGTTTGCATTTTAATTTTAGGGGGTCGGATTTTAATAAGATTGGTTTAGAATTAATGAGTGGATATTCTAGTTGACAAGCTTAGGTGGAGAAATTAGTGTCACATAACTTGTCATGTGGCTGATGTTAACTCTCGAGGGTATTTGTGATTTTTTGAGATAACGACGGGGGCAATTTTAATTCGAAAATGTAACAGAGGGTGTAACTGATTTATTTCACATAGTTCATGGGACAATTTTAACCCTTTAAAAAATATTAATTGGTATTGCAAATTTACCATTTTACCCCATACTATTTGATAAGAAAAGGACATCAAATTAAAAAATATTTTAGAAGTTTGTAGAAACAGAATATCTTATATTATTTTAGATTCATGGAATATGTCACGATTTTGTAATTGAATACCTTTTAGTTCTTACATATCTTATAACTGGTTGTTAAATAAGATTTATAATAGACACCCTTCCTCTGACTTCCATGGTTGATAATTTAATATAAGTATTTGCTTATCATGTCGACAAGAATGATGCTATGTTAATCCTAAAATATGGTGGAGCAAATGTTCATGACATTCAAGTGGGACATAATTAATAAATGATGAGAGAAGTCTCTAGGTAGGCACATTAGCAAATTCTACCATTTTATATTATAATCAAATAGAGATAGGACAATATACTAATTTAATATTCTCCCTATTTCAAAATAAATGAATTGTTGAGTCTTTTTTTATCGTTCAAAACAAATAAATTGTTTAAAGTTCAAGAGAGTTGTTAGAATTTTTTTTTCATTTTTGTCCCTCATTTATATCTTTTAGGTGATAATTTCAAGAGAGTTAATTGCTCATATTTATGATTTTACTTTGAAGTATCTATATTTTCAAGAAGGGAAATGAGACAAATATACCTCCGAACTATCGTAAATGGTATGTAGATACCCTCCGTCATACTTTTGGGACATTGGTGCCCTGTCGTCCAAAAACTAGAGCATATATATGCTCTTCACTCTAATGGAAGACTAAATAGGGACACGTGGCACAATCTTTTCCATTGATTTGATATTTAATAAATGTCGGGTCAGTGGATAAGATTATGACACGTGTATGTCCGTTAGTATAAAGGGTATATATGCTCTAATTTTTGGATGACAGGGATATCAATGTCCCAAAAGTATGACTAGAGCTATCAAAATGGGTTGGCCCAACCCAACCCAACCCTAACGGGCTAGAGAATTAAATGGGTTGGGACGGACTGACCCTTTTAATTAAAGGGCCAATAAAATAGCAGCCCAACCCAGCCCTAAGCGGGCCACGGGTTGGGATGGGTTGGCCCTTCAACCAAAAAACGAACAACATTTTCCTCTTAGAAAGGATACGAACGTTGATGTCTGATGGACACGAAATCAATTCATACATAAATTCATTCATGAATTACACATACTTCAGCGAATATTTACAAAACAAATACATAATAGCCAAGATACAACATTCATAAGATTCATCCGAGCAAAAAAACATTACACGATCATTATTTTCATAAACAAGACAATAAAGGAGAAGTGAAAAATTAGGCATAAAAACAAAAGTAAAAGAGGTCAAAGATTCATAGTTATAATGGAGTAATGAACTTGGGCTAATAAGAAAATTTAGTGGGCTAATGACACTAAAATGTAAAAGATATGTAAAAAATATAGTCTTGATTTTATATTGATATTTTAAAAATATTTATTGACAAAATCTTAACAAGTAAAACATTATTTAAAATATATAAAGTAAATATTTTTAAAATTCACAGCCCGCGGGCTGGCCTCTGAGGCTTGCGGGTTGGGCCTACGAGGCCAGTAGGCCAAATGAGGCTGGGTTAAAAAGCCTCGTTCCTAAATGGGTTGAAAAAATTGAGCCCAACCCCATTTAATTCAAGGGTTGGGTTGGACCGGCCTAGCGGGCCAAGCCCATTTTGACAGCTCTAAGTATGACGGAGGGTATCTGTATACCATTTACGATAGTTTGAGGGTATATTTGTCATTTCCCCTATAATAAAAGCAAATTTTGAGGTAGACTTAAGGATATTGAGTGTTATCATTGTGGCATAAAAAGACACACAGAAATATTTTGTCGAAAGTTGAACCTATCTAAGGATCCAAATAAGGTATTGTTGGAAAACTATATACACAACGGAAGCATATCAGAATCATATTGCTTACATGAATAACAGATAACCAATAATGTTTATGCTAGAACACATATAATCATATGCTAGAACACATAAACTTGCTGAAAATTAATTCAAAAATTACCTCTTGAAGCGTACGTGAACAGATACCTTCAAGCGAATCCACAAATTAGACAGACTTTCAAGCGAATCCACTAGATAGAGAACAACTTTATAATCTTCTACAATGATCCCAAGTTCACATTCGAACTCTCTCAATACTTGG